AAACTTGGCGTAGGCCGGTCGCCCAAATAGGGCGTGATATGGACTTTGGATTTTCACCACTTCAAACATCAATGTTTCCGACCTGGAATCATGATCATCCCCAAAGGCCACTTCCAGAGCTATCTTACCAACAGGATATGCTGATCTGCCAGGTACTACACCGTGGAACACCGTATTAGACGGTTTAAGATTTTTATCTGTTAGTCCCATATGACGGAAGGTCTCATAGTACAAGATATTAATGCTGCTATGAGCACCTTGGTGAACTTGTAACCTCCCACCTGAGGCGCCACCACCAGAGCCAACTAACCCGGATTATCGACCTGGGGAAGGTGATCCTCTCTGCTCCATATGATTGGCTGTTCAGACCAACGTAGATAACGGGGTATGGCCGGTTCAACAGAGTTGACCGCCCGCCTCTGAACTTTCCGGTCTCGCTTGTCCAAGCTAGTGGTGAAGACATGGTACTGCCCACTACTCAACTGCTTTGGGTTGCTCTGGTAACCTGACTGTTGCTGCTGTTGGTTGTAACCACCCTGGTTGTTCTGACTATTTTGACCATTATGTCCGCCCGGATTACCATTAAATCCTGGACCGGAACTTCCTCCACCGTAACCCGGCCCGGATCCTGAGCCACCGCCAGATTTGTGATCATACCGGAAATTATTAGAATTCTTGAACTCCTGCATAATAAAGCAATCCTTTCAAAGGTGGTTTGCTGGCGCCTCCTTCGTCTCATATCTTGGACAGGGCTGGCTTAGCAGATAGTTTAGGCAGCCTGGGTTAGGGTTGGGTGCCCCATTACGATTTTTCGGTTTACCCTTGCGTCGCTGGCCATTGTCCTGCGCGTTGGTATTAGCCACAAAGTCCATGTTACCATCCGCTTTACGCTTGCCTCCACCACCATTGCCTGCCCAGTGATGCTGCTGACCTTTGGAGTTGCTGTTCCTCTTTCCCTTCCCTGTCCTGTCATCATCAGATTCAGGATCCTTGGTACTATCAGAATCAGCATATTTCACCAAAGCGGCCATGAGGGTCCCCATGTCAGTGCAATGACGCTTCATCCGTCCCAACTTCAGCTTTAGGGGCCCAAACCGGCAGTTGCCTTCTAGGGTTAATACCGCGGTGTCAGCGTTGATGCGGTCTAATGAGTGCAACACTTGTGAAACCCGACACACCCAATGAGTCGTTGATTCTCCTTCCTCCTGGACGCATGCAGCTAAGTCCACTATTGACATAGGCTGTTTACATGTATTCTTGAAATTGCTGATAAACCGGGCTCGTACTTGGGCCCATGAACTGATAGAATTAGCCGGCAAGCTTTTTAACCAAGTACGGGCCGTTCCTTCAAGCATCATGGTGAAGTATTTCACACACGATGCGTCATCCACATCAAGCATCTCCATGGCCATCTCATAGCTCTCCACCCATGTCTCTGGAGGCTGATCCGCCGTGTAATTTGGTACCTTGCGCGGGCCCTTGAAATCCTTGGGCAGGCGCACATTGCGTAAAGTGGGGATAAGGCAAGGCACCCCCAAACTAGAAGTAACACCAGGTTCGATCGAGATGGTTGGACGAACCGGCGTGAGCTGCCGAGCCTGATGCTGTGTGGCTAACTCGGCCTCCCTGCACGCTCGGGCCTGGTTCACCACTTCCTGAGCGTTATCAGCACTACCCGTCGGGTTGTTGCCACGGGGTGCTCCACGTCGTTCGTTACTCGACACTGCCGGTTCATCCATATGTCTGCTATAGCTCCGGCTTGGACGGGGGGTCGAGTGGATCCGGTCGCGGCTGTACGAGTATGCTTCCTGTTGGACCAAAGCTGTCCTCAGAAGCTCCTTGACCCGTCGCGTCTCTACTGCCTGCGGCGAATCACCTTCAATTGGAATGGCCTCCAGCCGTGCAGCAGCGGCAACGAGATTGTCCATCGGGTTGGAGTAGTGACCCGGAGGTGTTAAAACAGCCTGAGGTATAACGGTGTTTTGACGAGGCGGGTCCATCTGCGAGGCTGAACCGGTGCACCGGTCCCGGGAGCTTCCGCCCGGTTTCCCTCCAGCGAATTGCCGATTCCTACTCCTGGAGTGTTGAAAAGGTCTCTGGCCTAAAAAACCGGAGGCAAACGGGATCGGTACTTCCTCCTCATGACTTCCTGCGACGCACTCTGGTCCAACATGAGCCTGTAGGCTTGTGCGTCTAAAGCGGCCCGCTCCGTGGCCATCCTGGTGTCCTCAGCTGCCAGATCTGCCTTGGCCTGATTGATCTGTTCCTTCACTTTTGCAATCTCGGCGTTGTGAACGCCCTGATCCGCCGGATTAGCCTCCGCCATAAGCACAACCAATGCATCAAATAGCTCTGATAGAACTTGAGCCGGCGGGCGCACAGGGCCTCCTGCCCCGGCAGCCGTCGTCGCTGCTGAACCGGAGGTTGTTGCCATAGAGGTCGAAGAATGAAGCGCTGCTTGTGTGCCAGTCATGAATATTCCAACCCGGTTGGGCAGATCAGAGGGGTCCGAAATACTGTCGCCATCGGAACAGCCCCCAATCCGGCCGTCTTGTAGCTGATAAAGAGATTCGGTTTCTCCGGTCGATGACTCGTCATTGGAACAAACGACGGTATCGCCACGAGATTCCGATCCATGGATGACTCCCACGAAGGCACGCTTCATGGCCGGTTTAACCCGGGGCAGATCGCGCACGCTGAGCCGTGTCGACGAGGTCGGTGCAGATGTCCGGCTCAGGGCCCGGTTCACCGATCTTGCCAATAAAAACATGAATTCCACCAAAGGGGACCCGGTATCCGTACTCAATTGAGCCGGCCTCGGGGCCCCAGCCTGCGTCGTCGATGTAGAACTCGCCGCGACGACTCTTAGTCATCCGGCCTACAGCGTAGCCCATGAGTCCTTCAAAGCGGCCCTCCAAGAACCGGAAACCATCGTGCGATAGCCCCACAGTGGGCGCCAACTGTCGTGGCTTTGTCACGGCAGATGTCCTAGAGAAAGGACTTAGTCGTGGAGCCATCGCGACGGGTTAGCTTGAAGGGGTTAAAGCGGACACAGGGACGCAAGAGAGTTTATACTAGTTCGGCTCCTTCGATGAAGGTAAAGCCTACGTCTAGTTGTGATGGAATTGATGGGGTTTCGATGACTAGGGAGCCAACAAGCTTCGCCTATGTCTCAAGTTGTTGTCTCTCTCTGAACCGCCGCCGGGTCGTCCCCTTATATACACGAGTGACACCCGTCGGCTCACAGAGTCCTAACACCGGTCGATATTCGTATTCTGGGTTGGTCTCTCCTTATTTCTAACTTACAGTACAAGTTTATATACAAATCCCGGTTTATAGCTACAAGTCTTGAACCAGCTACGGGCCTTAGGCCCTCATCTGCCTTCTTGGACTTTATCACTCTGGAACTACTGATGAAGTTGACCCGGCCCAGATAGGCCGGTTTACGCCCAGCAGTAATATCCCCAACAGTATCTATCCTCAGTGGACCACTATTGTCAAGACAATACCCAACCCTATCGGAGAGAAAAGGAAAAGATTTTCCCAAGAGCAAGAGAGTGCTAGAAAGGATGTTGAGCGTGCCTTTGGTGTTTTGCAATCTCGCATCATTCGGTATCCTGCTAATACTTGGAGCACGCAGAAACTATGGGAGGTGATGACTGCTTGTGTGATCATGCACAACATGATCGTAGAAGACGAGCGCCTGGAATGTCTGTACGATCAAGGCTTTTAGTTTCAGGGTGAGAATGTTGTGCCTGAGCATGGAGTAGCAGCAACATTTGAGCAGTTCACTTAGTTTCATGAAGACATGCATGATTGGGAAACTCATGTGCAACTGCAAAATGATTTGGTTGAGCATATGTGGACCCATGTTGGCAACCAATAGATGTATCTTTTTTATTCGTTTTGCAAAACTATGTGAAACATTTTTATTTTTATTTGGCCTATAAACTATACTATTTATTTGGGTGGACTATTTTGTTTGTTAAATTTTCATTTCACCATATGTGAGAATGCAATGCAAAATTGGGCGGCCAGCCGGCCACGCCCGCATATATGGGTCGGCGCGTTGGGCGCGCTGCCGACCCATATGAAAAACAGGGCGGACGCCGGGCGGGCGGCCGACCCAAACGGACAAAAAGCGGACGAAATCGCCGTCCGTTTGGGTCGGCCCGTTGGAGTTGCTCTTATATTAGGTAGGATATTAGTTGCACGTTATATTAGGTAAGATATATCTGTTGCACGTTGGTATTTCGTAATATATCAATTACTTTTTCGCAGAATGGTAGGATATTAATTACATGGCAGATTTCAAGGGATAGCGTTGAGTCAAAACGTGTTTATAATCAATGGTAGTGATGGGTAATTAGGGCGTTAAATGTGTTTGGTGCTCAACATTGAAACGCTTTGAACCGCTAGAAAATAAGATTTGACGGTCGAGATGGTTTGAATCTGCCCATTTGGGTCTTTTTATATTGGTATAGATAGATAGATTATATTGAGATTGGATGTTTACATGGGACGTGTTTGGTTACTTGCATCGTTTCTAGGCACTTTGCATAGTTGTCTCAGTTGAGTCTGATTAAGCTAATGCAGGCAAACCAACGTCTGTATGTAGTTTGGTTGTCTACATGTAGACTGTCTGTGTTTAGTTGTGTGCATTGGCTGGGCTGATGTAAGCGCCTAGTGCTTGATTGCATACGAGCAAAGTGATTAAGGCGGCGTGAGTGTAGGCCACGGACAAGGAGGCCGACTGGGCGATGCCGACTACAATGTCGGGCACAACATGGCGTTCATTTGGCATGGTTGACGATGATTAGTGAGAACAGAGTGCCTCGGTAAATGTGGTGGACTATTGTGCGGTGCCTTTGTTTCCGATTTCGTCAAGACCGTCGTGCTCAATGAATAAGGTGATGATCCAACAACACAAGAAGGGCTTGCTCTGCCTAATAAGGTGATTGGGAACGGGTAAGGAGAAGCGAGAAGGGGCGATAGACAAAATGACGGAGAAGTTTGAGGTCATCATAACGAAGGAGGAGACATGTGTAAAGCGCCATGAGGTGAAGGAGTCAAAGACGACGAAGGGGTTTAGCAAGTTCATGGAGATACAAGAGAAGAATCTTGAGATCAAGGTTGCTTCCAATGACTCCAAGATGTTGTTTGTGAAGATGTTGGATTATGATCCTGATGTGACGAAGATTGTCCTAGCCTAGGCTTGTTGAAGTGCTTCAGGCAATTTGAGGGTGTCGAAGGGTGAAGTCTTTGCCACGCGTAGCCGGATTGGAGAGGGCGTCTTTGGCATGGACAATCAGACTTTTGGGATCAGTCGGATGTAAAAGCGTATTGAATATCAAATGATTTTTGTTTTGTGATCGCATATGTTTGCAACAATTAAACATATGCTTAAAGTGGTATTGATATATGCATGTCAAATGAAGGAGGACAGACCAAGGGCAGGCATTTGGTGACTCTGGTTGGATGGCCGTCTCCTCCATCCATATCCACGGACATGTCCGGATTTGTCTATGGACATTTGATGTGTCCATCTTGGTGATCCGCGTTGGACTTGCCTTAAGGAAGTTGGTTTGCTGAAGACCACCTTTGGTTCAGCTTATAGCTTTTGGACCCAGAAGTTGGCAGCTCAAGCTGAACCAAACACAAGTCCAACATCTGTACTGTACGTGAAGCCCTGCTTATTTCATATACTCCAGCAAAATTGCAAGTACGTATGGAGTAGTAGTAATCATGCTATGTACATATGCCCATCAGAGGGGACAGAGCTGCAGTAGAACTCGGCCAAATATACACTGAATATCCATCAGGATCTTCTTCACATTCATTGACTTTAGAACCACTCGCACTCAAAAGCGCAGGAGGAAGTTGCACATTTTATCAGCGCAATGCTTCCCCAATCTGCAAGGTCGGACACTGCATGTAGCTCCTCTCATTGCAGGTTTTTGTGATTTCTTGCAATATCCGCGATGACTCGGTCTTCATTACACCTGCCCACTCAGTGCTACTGTAGCTATGCCAGATAGTACCTTGATCCTCTATCTTCTCTGATCCTCATTAGTGGTGGTGAATAAGGAATGTTCTTAGAAAAACTCCTGCTACCTGAATGAAAATCAGGTCAATTTGCTAGTCTATTTTCCTTGCAAAAAGAAGAGTTGATAGTCTATTCCAAATACACAAACTCCACATTCTCAGTGCAGCCTCACCGTTTAGCTATTTGTAGTGCCATCGTCGTCATTTTCATCTCCAGAAGCTTCATAGCGTGGCTGGTCATACTTCTCACGGAGTTGCTTCACAGGAATGAAGTCCCGAGTTGTGTCCTCGCCATAAAATAGGAATTCAGTGTAGGGGTGCTCAAACCTTCCCTATATATTAATAACGGAACAATCAACAATTCACTTTGGTAAAAAGAAAAGGGAAACAACCAAGCAAACGAGGAACTGGAACTCACTTTCTCTGATTCTTCAGCTTCTGAAAGATTTTCTTCTGCGACTGAAATTACAATGCGATAAATATATCTCAAAACGGCAATGATAGACAAAAATATAAGTATGAACGGATTTGATTATGAAATAGCCTGCTATATTGTTTTCTTGTACAGTATTTAAAACATAAAAAGGTATGCTTATTAAAGTTCCACATCTTAGACGTTGTTGATTTGGTTCCACCAGCTTTCTAGATATCATGACATTGTCTCCACAATGGTGTACCAGAACAGTCAACACACGGTCGATCCACCTTCGCCAAGCAAAGATTATTTATAGTAAACAGACTGGAGAAAATGCTGCATTCTACATTTTTTCAGGGTATGTACAAGGGAAAATATAGTTGCTGATTTCTTTTCATTTTCGGTTGTTTTAAACACTGTTGATGAACTGTAGGCTGGCTTCGGATATTAGAACTCAGAAGGTTTACCCCTTCATTCTTGACAAAAAGGGTGCAAGGAGTTGGGAGACATAGTGAAATACTGATCTATTTTGATGCATATTTTGGGAATTTTATGAATAATAGCATAGCAAAAACGAAATTTTGGAACAAAAATTATTCAGCACATGGTATCTGAATAACACAGAAAGGGCATGCATTGTTTTCACTGAAAAAAAGAACAATTTCAAAGCCCCACATATATATGGATTAGGAAAAGAAGAGAATAGTACCATATGCAACAAGAAGTTCTGGATCAGCATATACATCAACCAGCACCTGAAAAAATAGCAATACCACAGCATCATAATGTGTAAGATTTTTTTTTGGAACCAGTTAAAACGAAGATTTGGAACCCTATAGATTAAATTGCACACATATGAGCATGCAAAACCATGCTGAAGTTAAAGCAGAGTCCAATGAAGATGCCAATCCAGATTCCAGAGAGAAACAGTGTTTTCACTAACAATTTTTCCTTATGAAGGGGATGGTTAACTAGTTCAGGGTTAAAAAAGGACAATTGTGAATATCACCACCTCAGGAAGTGAGCCTAGCTCACCTGGGTAGGGGAGGGTGTACAATCCCACCACCTGGTTTATGTCCTCGTGGACACGGATTTGGGTTCCTACTTATTATATTGTCAGGGGGCTCCCCTATTTTCCATCACCTCAAATCCATAATTCAAAGCCTTTATGTGCTATATTGCAAGGAGGAAAGTAAGAAGAAGGATAGATAGATATTGCTATGATGAGCTAGCTTAGATGGTAACTAAATTATAATAAATGAAAGTTCCCATCACAACCTTGCAAAAGATTCTCAGCAATTTCAGGACTTGTGTGCAAGGTGTACAATCGTGGATTTAAAATCAGGACTATGGGCCAACTGGCCACAGAAGGATAAGTCAAGTACAAGATGTACCATGTCACTAAGTTAGCCGTTGCCAGAATCATGTATCAATGGTTGTCATTGCGCTAATATTACGTCCATGTAACACAATCTAAACTCTAAACTTAACAAAATTAGCACTAAAATATATCTTGCAGATGCTACAAGAAAAAAAAAAACTGAGATTTGCTTGGAACTGTGGATACTGAGGAACAACTTAAACTGGAAGCATCATTTACTTGATAAAAAGGTTGATTTGGTCCTTTAGATAACTTCTCCACATTTGCCGTCTCCATCCATGACTTGGATTCACAGCACACAGGATCCATGCCACATATCACAGCTCTATATCCTTCAGCAGGAGAAATCAAAAGACAAAATAAACTAGTGTCTCACATGAATGAATCATGAGTGCTGAACTACAACAAATTAAGCCTAATGACAAACAAATGAATAAAGATAAAAAAATATATCTCAAATATTTCAAACCATATACTACTACAGTATAATTACCTAAATATAGGTCACACCTACATAGCAGCTAGAGATACATATGATTACTTTCAGTGGTTCAGTTCAGTCTTCGACTGTAGGAACGCAGACTTGAACTTAAACAATCGACAAACTATTGTTGACAAAAAAAGATAGTGACCAACACTGATATGTTTACTTTCTATATGTTATAATTTATAAATATCCCCTTCAAGTATACTGATAAAGTATTTGTGTATCACATATATGTCCCTACCAGTTAGAATGCAGAACACATAAGAAATAACAATCAATGGAATTATTAGCAGTCCTTTAGCATGCCAGAGCTTTTAACAATAACAGATGGTGCAAAATTACTCACCATGTACTTTGTGGCGTACTTTCTGCCCTAGTCGAAACTCATATTTCACACTTTGGTAAGCCAGGGCTTTAGCAGAAAGTGCCAGAGAATCACCCTACATGACATTTGAAGTAAAGCTATTTAACATAATCATGACATGACTGGTGCACCTAAGTTTTGGCATACCTCAAGCTTAGAGATTGTGTCACGCAGCTCAGCTGCCAAAGCATAGTTCTCGCTCTCAATAGCATTCTGCAAATCTGCACTGCAACAAAAGGATAAAGGTGAGCTATCTGCCAAATGAACCAACTTTGGAGTGTTCCACAACAAATTTCCCCTTACGAGATTAGCCTATATGTTAATTAAGAAAATGGAGCACCAGAGCATAATCATCATATTGGGAAAATGTACATGTTAAAAGTATTTTAAATCTTCTCCTTATGGGTAACAAGGAAATATCAACATACCGCGCACGTAGTAGATTTAAAGATTTATCCTGAGCTTCATTCTTCGATGAACCTCTTTTAGCTTCACGCTGCCTAGTTACCTCTGTTTCGATCTACAAAATAAGAGATAAGACTTTCTTCACGAAGAAATCATCCTCAAAATTCACTTATCTTAGAAGTGAACATCATCAAGGTACCTCAGCGAGCTTTTCCCTCAATTGCTTTGCTGCATCAAATTGTTCTATATTCAATGCATACTGGCAAGAATCAAGCAGTTCAATCGTGAGGTTGGATTTACAAAAGGTAAACATCAAACATTTGGATGTATCAGTTGTCAGTGGAAACAGCAGTGAAATGATGTTAGATTCAACTAACTAGTAAACTGTAATCTAGACAACTGTCTGGTAAAAAATTACAGAAATATGACAGATATTAGTAGTTGCGGCGAGGTGGTGGCAAAGAAGCAAACACTCACTTGTATCCGAGTCTGTACATCCAGCTGAAAGTAGAAGATCAAGATGTCTTCGTTAGCAGACTCACTGCGCTCCAGCCTCGCGGCCGCATTATCGTTACTGTTACTGTTACGAGCATCTCCTCCAAAGAACCATCTGGCGTTAGTCCTTACTGTGGTGTTTATTTTTCCACGGTTGGTCCCCATGTGCAGCTTTTCCGCACACCAGCGCCACGCGTATGCCCCACGGCTTACTGGATTTATTTTGTAACAGAACCTCAGACCATTCCTAGCAACACAAGCTGATCTGCAGTTTGTTCCCTGGGGCGAGACGCCCGAGCCGCACACAGATATGCCTTGCATTGTATATGCAATGCAGTAGGTCCGAAACGTGCACGGGCCGTCGATCACCACCGCTGGAGCGGTGCAATCACCACACCTACATACAGTGGTAAGCAGCTAGTCAATGGGGCATACAAGTGCACCAGAGCACACAAACGATGACACGCTCTGACATCAACTGAAGCAACTTTGCCTGAAACTCATTATACTTTTACCAAATCGCTTGAAATAATAAAAATACATCTGAAAATTAACAAATGCATGTTCCTATTTAAAAGCAGTGCTAGAGATCCCATATAAAAAAATTGCAAGGCAGATTCCTCTGATCCCTAAATGTTGGTCAATCTGTTTTGAGTTACAGAACAGGCGCTCAAGTATCAAGACGAGGACTGGTGCGGCGGGGCACGGAAAAAATCAAGGCGGGGCGGGGAGAGAGCAGAGCTCGGTTACCTGAGGCGGCGGCCTTGGGCTTGGGGGAGAGGAAGCACGGTGCGGCGCCGGTGAGCGGGCGAAGGGAACGCGTGGGCGCTCCGCAGCGCCAGGGTACGGAACGGGTTCGCGCTGGTGTTGCGCTCTGTCTCTGCTGCTGCTATGCTCTACGGTGGTGGTGGATGTGGGTGGATAGACGGCGCCCAGCCCCAGCCCCCAACTGGCCTCGCCCTGGACCAGTCGTTCCTTCTTTTCTTTGGCCCCAGCGTTTGCTGCGATTTTTTCGTGGAATTCGCGGTTAAATTTCTGCCGCGACCCTATAGTTACCTTGCCTTCAGTTCGTTTCCCATTATCAAACTATCAAAAATAGGTTACTCGATTTGCAAATGATTTTTCTCAACTCTTAACCACTATTTCAGCTCGGCAAATACTTATTTATAAACCTATATTGATTTATGGTACTAGTTACAGAAAATCCACCACACACTCCAGCTGACAAACAAGTGCATTCTCATTAAAAAATGGTATCGTAAATCACAAAGGAAGGTTCTGTGTTCTCCGATAAATGGAGGTATTACCACTGGTCACAATACTAGCGTGACATTCGGCAAGAAAGTGATCGCAGTAGGAATAAACCTCTAATTTTTCATCTGGCGAACATCAATGCTCAACAGCGAACCCTACGCGACATAAAAATTGTGTTGCTTCTGTTCTATAGCTAGAACTCTATTTGGCAGCGCGTATAACAGTTCCAAGCCAATCGTCCGAGCTTGTGTTCACATCCCCCTTCAAGGCTCTCAGGGAGTGCTCAGTATCAACCTGCATCACAAAACAACTTTTGAACAAAAACTGTACTGCCGCATCATGAATTTAGTTATCGTTTTAGTTATGGTTTACAGTATGAGCAGAGGAAATATTCACACCTTTGTAATGTACACATCAACTCCAAGCCTAGCTATCACGGCAGCTTCCAGTATTTTGGTCTCCATTCCTCCAGTAGTGTCGTGTGCGGCTACTGATATCTCCACTGCAGTGAATCGCTGGATATGTTAGGCTTATACAAGCGATACTAGTTTACAAGCAGTACATCTGGATCATGAAATTAGCCTGTTCTCAGTCCAATAAACCATAATTTTGATGACAGCGACTCATGTTACAGATAATTTCTCCCTCAGAGCATTTCCCCCCCTTCAAACGATACATAAGAACAAAGAATGCATTCGGTTATGATTAGGTTGTCACTTGGGAAATCATCACTGACTACCTGGATCAAGCATTTTTTGTCTTATTTGATACAATTATGAACTTGAAATTGCTATGTTCAACCTCTGCAGGCTGTAGCGGCATGCCTTCATCAGTATATACTACACAACTATGCAGACATCAATCACTCAACCATCATGGTACACATGGAAGGGAGACATGATTATACCTCCTTTTCTGTTGCCTTGTAATGCAGGTTTTACAATCGACCAGCCTCCGTTGTCATCTACCTCTGTTAAGCAGCACATGTCAGTAAACTGGAATTGCATGTTTTTTCCTGCATTTCCCTACAATAATTGATGTATATCGACCAAGAAGATTACACATGCAGACAAAGTTGATCTACAACAGGTGGATACTAACCTATCTCTTTGAGAAGTACTGCATTGGGGTCAGTTGGAGGACGGTCATATACTCCATGAACATCTGTCTAAATATAAATTTTCAGAGAGCTATGTAAAAGTCTAAGTAACGAAAAACTTGACAAAACAATGAAACATATGAAGCATGGTGCATACAAATGAAATAAGATGAAGCCCATCTTATAACAACAAAATTGAATTATAAGAAAGAAGTCAGCAAGTTGCCATACTGTTACAATAAATGATCAAGTCATGGTAAGGAGACAAGGTAACAGTACCAGAAACACGACATATTTTGGAGTCAAAAGCTGTGCAAGGTGGCGTATAATGACATCCCCACTCAATATGGTGCAGTCCTGGTCATTTAATCCTAACATCAGTCTCAGTACAAGTGAACAAATAGTGTGTATGCCAACCTGTATGTGAATCTAAACAAGAATGTGGGCATAATCCAATTTAAAACTCACCAGCGATTCATCAAGAACAGCATCTCCGTGCAAAACCTGCGAGGAAATGGACCATTATTCTACACAGAAAACCATAGCTGCAAGTTTGTATTCTTCTTCATATGTAGATGGAAAAAGAACAGGTGGAAGTTAGGCGATGCTTCCCTTAATTCTCATAACGTTACTGAAAAACTGTCCGAGCTATTTCAAATGTCAGAACTGATCTATTACTTAACAATACACACAGAGCTATGTTGGGAACATATATGTATTGTGAATCATTGCAGCTTACCAAAAGCATCAGTGAAAGCTCCATGTAAACAATACTCATTAAACACAAGTCTAAAGAATATACTACTAATATCCAGAAACAACATTTTTGCCGCATATGATTCATATAATTATCGCACTTGAGCTGCAAACTTAGATCAAAGCAAATTTCTACAGAAATTATTACTCAAGAACCTAAGGTGCAGTAGCTTACAGGGACAAAGCCAGCATGGAGCGACTCAATGATTTGAGAAGCATTGGCTGATGCAAGCTGCAAATGCACATATGTCAACATCTTTGTTTACAGGATTAGACAAGAACTGTGTATTGTCAGGTGTCTATCCAAAGATGCAACAATCCTCTAGTTTGCTCACATTTCTTCGCTGAGTAGACCATCCACAAGCAAATGGTGACATCCCAACAGACGGTATTCCTTCTGCAGAAGCACTTCCACAAGTCATTTATTAACACTGATTCACACTTAACAAATTAATAGTTTTTGTAAAACATATATCACAAAATTGATACATAAGCTGGTCAGGTCATTGAAAATACATAGTAGATATATGAATTGTTATTATATGAACATGCATCCTTGCAATGTTAAGTAAAAACTTCAGATCACGACATAATTCATCCAGACAAAGGAACACACGCAGATCCCATGGAAAAATAATAATAAACATAATCATGAATTTTCAATACCTATTCAAGACGACACTAATGACAACACACTAGTTGATTACTTGACCATAATGACAGGTTACCATGATAAGCATGTAGCTGAATTATTAGCATAAAATGCACCAGTCTTCATTTCTATGTAGTGTACCTCTTGCCAAGGCTCTAACAATTTCCTGGTTGAGAGAAGTCACCTATGTTGCAACATATATATATTATTAGAACACTGTTTAAGCATTGCATCAAAGAAGCATGGCATACATCGACAAAATCCTGAAAAAAATTATGGAACTGGAAGTTACGATATCCACATGATAGTGAAATTTTAGAAGTACACCGTACTGAAATTCTTGTAGCCACAAAGCCAGCCTTCACCAGCGTTGAATGCAACCCTCCTTTATGTACTCCAGATCTACTTGCTTGGAAGTGGCCAAAAGAACCTGAAGTAGTAAATTCAGACAGAGGACTATTACGATCTTGATATCATGACACTAATTTTACAAACTCAAACTCTAGCAGCGCAATTATAGTTACAGGGATTACGGGTACCATATAACATTGGAACTGACCAACTTCCCTGGTTGTTCAGCACTGTCCTACAGGCAGACGCTAGAGACTATCAATCAGACCCATCGAATGCTAAATACTCCCTCCGTAAAGAAATATAAGAGCGTTTAGGTCACTAAAGTAGTGATCTAAACACTCTTATATTTCTTTACAGAGGGAGTATCTTCCAAGCAGGTTAGATGCACTAATAATCTAAGCATAGCTCGCTCACTAAGAGGCATGTCAAGGTCACTTGGTAGTTAGTGTCAATTCTGACAGCACATAGCATCCCAAATTATGTTCATCAGTTCATGTGGATTCTATACCCAAATCAGAAATCACCTAGTTCAGCTCATCAGCAAGCGTAAGACAGAGAGCCAGTGCCCAGAGGAGGCAACACAGATTCCGAGCTATATATACCTGCGCCGTGGACGACGACGAAGTTGCTGTCGAGACCCAGCCCCGCCATACCCGCGAACCCCTCCGCGTCCACGACCGGGTCGGCCGGATCGCCGGGCCTCCTGCTCCAGTCCATCCCCCTAGCCTTCTCCGGGGCGGCGCCGTCGGACATGGCCTGCCGCAGCTGCGCGCACGCCGACCGCAGGCTCTCCTCGTCGATGCTCTCCAGCTCCCCCTTGTTCGTGATGGCCGCTCCGCCTGCGCCAGCACAGAGTTCGTCGAATCAGCGCCGGCTGGAGAGGCGCACGCCGGTACAGAGGCACACAAGGAAACACACGGCTGGAGAGAGCACCTAGCTTAACGATGCAGCGGACAGGGCGGGGCTTCCGTGCCGCCTCCGCCATGGGAGCTCCTCTCCTCGTCCTCGCGCAGTCTCCGTCTCTCCGATGACCGCTCGGGAATCTGAGCACCACTTGAGTTCAGTTCAGCGTGACCATGGTCGGATCTACAGTGTGGACGCTACAGATTTTAGACCGGCCAGGCCATAGGAAATTACAGATGGGCCTGAGAAAGAAAGGCCCAACAAACTCGTCACTCCCGGCCCGTCTCAGCCGGCTAGCCCAACAAACACTGGGACAGACAGACGCACCGAGCCCCTGCTCGTCCCCGACCTCGGCGGCTCGGCTCCCGATCTCGCTGGCTCGCTGCCTGCCTCGCCGGACGCCGTCAGCCGTCGCTGCCCAGCGCTCGGCGCCACTGCGCTTCCCTGGCGCCCCTGCAAGAAGACACCGGCCGCCGCCCAGTCCGCTCTCCGCCGGCTCCGGCAGCAAGCCTTGAGCCCGATTTGAGGACTTGAGGTAAGTTGTCAACTGTGGCACTGCCCCTTCCCAATTCCTGATTCAGGCTTTGCACTTTGCTGTCTATTGCATCAATCAGGTGGAAGAGTCAAGTCTATTGCGTTAGCTAAACAACCGGACTTGCTATCCCGTACATGAACACACAGTCCTGTGAATACATGCACATAATTTTGCTATCCAGTACTTGAACACCTGATCAGTGACAAAATAATGATTTGTCCGATTGTTTGGCACTCTTAACAAGTTACTCTAATGACGCCACTCTTAACAAATTAACAATGCCACACAGTCTTTTTTGAACTTCTCAAGATATGTATTATGTAGTAGGAGTATTCTCTTATGCAAAATTGAGAATTTTAATATGTCTGTAAGACCATATTGATCTATTTCTTATGTGCTATTGGTAAACTAATTAGAACGTTGGCATGTCATATTTGTTGTCGAAAGAAAAAGATGGACCACCCTGTTTTAAAATCCTAGATCTCTCGCTCCAAGGTCTCTCCAATTAGACGCCGTTGACTGGCTCCTAGCCCTAGGTCGCCGGCTCTCCGACACCTCCTCTAAGGCTGCTGTCTGTTCGCCAAAGCCTCCTCTCAGGTCGCAGTCTGCTAGCCGCTCTCTCTGGCATCCCAGGGCGCCGCTCCCTCCCGGCTCGCCACGCACTCGCCTCGTCCCTTCAGTGTAGGCCAGTGATATTTAGCAAATGAACTACGTATTCAGATGTGTATGATTGAAGGTTTGTGTTACATGCTTACTTGCAATACCACATTTATCTTACGTCTTCTGTGTTCGCACTTGAAAGCGCAGGAGGTGTACAATGAGGCTGTTGAAAGCGGAGGAGTTGTTCCGGAAATTGCTTGAGGGTGGGTCCAAGAAGCAGCCTCGGCTTCTCGGGCTCGATGTTGGTAGTAAGTACGTTGGGCTGGCAGTTTCTGATCAGAAAAACAGGATTGCCTTGCCTCTAAGGTATGGGCTTCTAGCAATTGGTGTTGAGGACGTGTTTCTTGATGCAAATGTAAGTGGTCATGTATGCTTGTAAGTAATGCACAAGAATGGTTATATTCCATTCCTCTTAATGGCTTAATGGAGCGGAGTATTTACAGTCTATTCACTGAATGTTTGAAATTTTTTCTGTAAGTAATAGTAGTATAGTACAAACCATCACCCTGTTGGAATTGGACTGTCCAACCGCAAACAAAGCACTACTAGTAATTCATTGAATTTGTATGCGGGCTTACTCTATGCATGATTGTGTTAGGACTAGAGCGATGTCTGCATGTTAATGTTAGCATAACTTCATTTTATATGAAATGACTGTAGACCTTCAATTTTGTTAGGAAAAAACTAGTGTTGTGGTTTACAAAATCCTGTGACGCACATTTCTATTTTGGGGACCTGTTTCAATCACACAACTTCTTTGCTTTCATATTTATGTGCTCTGTAAGGCTTGTTTGGATAGTAATCATGACTTTCCTGTGTTTGATATGTTTCACCCAGACCAAGAGAGTGGCTTGACTCAGTATAGTCATGATTGTCATTGCCATTATTTTCCCAGTTTCTTGGACATGGGATGTCATCTTAATTCTGCAATGATGTGCTTGGTCTATTGTCGTGAGTACTTACATCTTGAGAGAAAAAATATATTATGATAGCCCAGTAGCTTCTCTTTTCTATAATTTGGTGATGAGATAGATGACACGCTTGCATTTCCTTAATAAGGTAAAATTACATATTGGGATTGACAAGTGCATTGATATTCTGCAGTGTCTTGGGTAGGACAAAGACAAACATTAATTTGATGGCAGATGATTTCAAAACACTGGTATGTTATACTTGTTCACGTTTAAAACTTACTGGTAAACACAAGATCAAGTACTCAATAAAAAAATATCATTTTGTTCTGTAATTAATGCTTGTCCACTCCCTCCACCATTTTTCAAAAATTATCTTTCATTGAAACTGATTTTGCATTCTGAAAATGCAAATTTTGCTTCAACTTAATGTGTAAAACCGAAAAAGGAAATGTGCTCTTATTGGCATTAAGTCAGGGTTTCAGGTCTATCTGTATTGGCTTCTTTACTCAAGTTACCCATTTCATTTACCTTTCTAAGATATTTAAGGGTGACATTGATAATTGACCACAAACAAATCAAAACAGCATCATATGTAGAAAGGGTATATTTTTTTGTGTATCTAGCTGTACAGAAAAGATTCTCACCTCTGATAGGCTTTTAATCTGTGGATGGGCAAAATAACTATTGGTCCCACTTTGCAAAATTCAACAAAAAAAATTCCAGGCTTGTTATATCGCAATGCTGGTGCTAACTTGGAGTGTCATGGCCTCGTGGATGGTTATCACAACTCTTAACTTAGATTTGTGCATAGAATGGAGCTGATGCAGGCTTGGTCGAAGCTAATTTACAGATGTGCGCTGGGAGCCAGCAAACACTAAAATCGGCTAGTATTGTCAATCTTATGGCGCATCCGGAATAAGAGGAGTATGTAGAATCTTCTAGCAGAAAGAGAAGATATATGCGACATATAGTCCAGAAGTTCAAGCGAAAGCCATCACCTGGCAAAGCATGCACAGATAGCATGAAGGAGATATTACCCAAATATGTTAGCCTTTCAATACTGCACCAAATATTTTTGCCAATAATATGCAGGAGAACTGCATATAATTTATTAAGAAGCAATACTGCACCATATTATGCATAGATAACTGTTATGGCCGGTTTAGCTAGGCCCACCGGGCAATCTTAGCCCACAAGTTATCTTAGGTTAATTCTTATGCAAGTTATCTAGGTTATAAATATAGACTGTAAGACTCCTTTTGGAATTAAGCAAGAAGCAATCAATATTTGCTCGGCTTCCCTTAAGGAGCCGGGAGACCTAAACCATAGCCGCCTCTTGCATCCGCCGCCGTCGCACCAGCCGCAAGGACGGCGCCCAGCCGCCGGCCGCCGCGCAATCTCCTACGACCTCCTCCCTCCTTTCCTTACAGGCTACGCCCTAGATCGGGTAGAACCCTAGTTTCTACCAATTTGGTATCCAGAGACTCGGGTTCGATCATGTCGTCATCAACACCCACGCCGCCGCTGCCCATCATCACCACCGCCCCGATGACCACTGCCAGGTCCCCAACGCCGCCGGCCCTGATCACCTCCGCGCCGCCGACAACCTGCGTCTTCACGCCGGAGGAGATGACCAGCACCCTGCAGGACCTCATGACGGCCGTCCAGGGCATCTCCCTGTACTTGGCCTGCCCGCACACCACCCCGCTGGCTGCGGCCCCCGCCTACAGCCACCCGGCGACGCACTGGCCGATCCAAAACGCGTCGGGCCCGAGCGGGACGCCCCTACTGCCGTTCCAGGCAGGCTACACCGGCGGGCCCCCGTCGCTGCTGCACCTGCCTTGGTACTCGGTACCCGCGGCGATCGCCGGGGCCCATCCGTCGCTCCAGCCGCCGCCCGCCCCAGCGCCGTCCTGGCCGCAGTGGCCCGCGCCGGTTCTCGCGGCGCCACCCGCGCCTCCCGCGCCCGCCCCAGCGCCGCAGTGGCCGCAGTGGCCCGCGTCGGCCCCAGCCGCGCCGGTCCAGCTCCCACCGCAGCCGCCCAGCTCCGGACTGGGCCAGTCCACGCCGGGAGGACTTCCGATCCAGCAGATCCGGTTTCCGCCGTCACCGTCCCCGATCCCGGCCTGGCTAACCGGGACGTCGCCACCGCCAGTTTACACAGAGGCCGGGGACCCACCGGTACCCACGCTGCAGTCTGGGGCCTCGTCCGGCTCCGCGGGGGCCTACGACGGCCTCCCCACCGTTGACCGGGCACCGTCATCATCACTGCTCCGCACCGCCAAGCCGGTCGGCCATGGCGCGCCGACCCAAACGCCGCCACGGTTCGCTAGGATCGATTTTGCCACTTATGACGGCACGGAGGACCCGCTTAACTGGCTCAACCAGTGTGAGCAGTTTTTCCGTGGCTAGCGCACGCTCGCGTCGGAGCGCACTTGGCTGACATCCTACCACCTCCGCGGTGCAGCCCAGACCTGGTACTATGCCCTCGAGCAGGATGAGGGCAGCATGCCCCCTTGGGAGCGCTTCCGCGAGCTCTGCCTCCTTCGCTTTGGGCCTCCGGTTCGGGGGAGCCGCCTGGTGGAGCTCGGCCGCCTTCCCTTCACCTCCACGGTGTAGGACTTCGCCGACCGTTTCCAGGCCATGGCATGCCATGCGTCGGGCGTGATGCCGCAGCAGCGGACCGACCTCTTTGTCGGTGGACTTCCGGATCACATCCGCGTGGACGTGGAGCTTCGGGGACCCCAGGATCTCCAGTCGGCCATGTACTACGCCCGCGTGTTCGAATCACCATCCCGGACCACTGGGTCGCTACCCGGGCCGGATTCCGTGCAGGGTCGGCCTGCGCAAGCTTCTGCGGCACCCCTCGCCGCGACCGCGGCGCGCCCGTTCCACCGGCTCACCTCAGCCGAGCTACTCGAGCGTCGCCGCCAAGGGCTGTGCTTCAACTGCGACGAGCCCTACACGCCCGGCCATGCCTGCCCGCGACTCTTCTACCTGGAGGTTGCAGACTACATTCCGGAGGACGCCGTCGCCGCCGACCTGGCCGCCCCAGCTGTCGAGAAGGTGTTTGACGCTGGTTGATCGCCTCGAGGAGTTCCGCAAGCGCTTCCCCACCTTATAGCTCGAGGACGAGCTGTTTGTGCAGGCAGGGAGAAGTGTTATGGCCGGTTTAGCTAGGCCCACCGGGCAATCTTAGCCCACAAGTTATCTTAGGTTAATTCTTATGCAAGTTATCTAGGTTATAAATATAGACTGTAAGACTCCTTTTGGAATTAAGCAAGAAGCAATCAATATTTGCTCGGCTTCCCTTAAGGAGCCGGGAGACCTAAACCCTAGCCGCCTCTTGTGTCCGCCGCCGTCGCACCAGCCGCAAGGACGGCGCCCAGCCGCCGGCCGCCGCGCAATCTCCTCCAACCTCCTCCCTCCTTTCCTTACAGGCTACGCCCTAGATCGGGTAGAACCCTAGTTTCTACCAATAACTCATTTAGGCTCCGTTGGGCATCTAGTGGCCTTTCAAGTGTAGCTTTGCTATTATCCTTTTTTAGAACCATAACAAAACTATCTTACTAGAGTTAGTAAGGATTCTTATAGATTTCAAATCACAGTGCGGCACAGCACATCAAACACTGGTAGTAGTGTTTGACAAGTTTACAAACTTAGTGATTTCTCATTCATTACTTTTTTCAGTTGTTCCATATGTTATATTTTTTTCTGGATTTCTGACCTCTCTTTAATTTTCAGTTATGCATATTGAAGATAAAGCCATTTTTTGTTTTGTGAATAGGTTGAAAACTATTCCCTTGCTGGGCTTGTTGTGGGTTATCCATTCAACCTACAGGGTCAATCTTCTCCAGATGTATGGTGCCCTTTTGGTAGTATAGTTCACCTCCTGTTTCACTTTATGTTTTCTAATGTTTCTTTTTCTGTAAAACAGGCATCACAAGTAAGCCTTCTTGTAGGAGAACTTTGTAAAACTGGGAAACTTGATGATTTGAGCTACACATATTGGGATGAAAATTTTACCTCAAAGGTGATAGCTCTTTTTCCTCTGTGTGCCTTCTTATTCAAATAGGATAAGGTGTGGACTGCAGTACTGTTTTGGCCATCGGATACATTTTAGTTTTTAAGACTGCTATTGGGCTGTTTTGTGGGGAAATGACTGTCATGTCTCTTTTACAAGTATTTGGTTGTGAAGTTTTCTGACCGACCTTGCTTTTTGGTTCAAATGATGCTGTTTCTCCAGTGCGTAGAAGCCCTTTTAAATCCTCTGAAACTAAATGATCCAGTTGAGACCAAAACAATGACAGATAAATTTGCTGCAGTTTGCATACTCCAGGTACGCCCACCAAATCAAGGATGGCATCATACTCCAATCACTCGGTTCATGTTTTCAGTTGACATAATCATTATAGTAGATCTTTGGGCCATTCGGTTGAGAACTGCTATTAGTCGCATTGAGAATTTCCTTTGTGGGCAGGGTTATTTAGATAACATGAACAGGGCATTGAGATCTGCAGATAAGTGTGACTCAGCTTCTGGTAAGTGCTTCTTTGTATAGTGTGGCCTCTTTGTTTGTTTCTTTCTTGTGCGTGTGTGTGTGTGACAACTGACATCTTTGTTGTTTACAATTTGCATAGGTCAATGAACATTTGCCTCTTAAAGGTTCTTCAGCCTTGCAGTCTTTGGTCGAAGCATGGTTCTGAAAGCATTTCCGTTTCCTGTAACATTCAGTTGGTCGAGATGTAGGTGCAGAGCTGACATATTCCGCTGACAGCACATCACCTGTGCAAATTAGTCGTAACTGATGCTAATCTATTTGGAAGATCCCTTCTCCCCTTTCCTTACAACCTCAGTCCGCTTATGAGATTCTCGGCATAAGCTGATGATGATGCCCCATGCCATTGCATGGCCACCGAAATGCTTGCCTGTTCCCGTCCTCTAATTTCCACAAATTAAGCGCACAGATGCTTTGTTAGCAGCCCGGGCAGTTAACCCCCATCCTGCGGCCTTCGGTTTGCTTGTCGACCCAAGAACGGTCAGGTGATGGTGCCAGGTGCACCTGGAGTGGAGTGAGCCATATCCCAGCGTATGCCTACTGAACATGTGTAACGCTCCGGACACACCCGCCCGTGGTCGTTATTCCTGGCAGGATCTAGACTGGCCCTACAGATCAATACTAGTCTTTTCTACGCACTTTGTCCTCACTCATGCGCACCTGGAAGGAACTTCCCGGTCGGTCACCCATCCTGACACTACTTCAAGCTGAACACGAACTTTGGAGTTCTGTCCGAATGAGCTATCGAAAAAGAAAGAATTCCTTATTGATAT